TTTTTTTAAAAATGTTGATTAGAACTAAAGTTATTTTATTTGTCAGAATGTCAGATCTTTGTGGGACACACTGTTTTTTTTATACATATAGATTTAGGTAATAATTTAAAGACATTTGTTTTGTTTTGTGTGCTGCTCCAAGTTTCATAAACGCCAAACGAAGCCATTCGAATAAAAGGATCGGCATTGACTGGTCGTCTATTGGTTCATTAACATGTTGTTGGTGGTGAAATTAGGAATTATAAAATGAGCAGTAAAATACAGACAGCCGATAGGTAACTAAAACTTGTATTTCGGAAATAATAATAAATTATTCATACAATTGTAATGACTTTTTTTTTTAGACAAAGTAACTACTTCAAACGATATCCAAAACGACCTGTATACAAACTATATTCTTATACTCAATTTGTGTAGGTAATAAGAAGTTAAATAAAATAATAATTAGGCATATACAACTTTTTTCAATTTTATGATAAGGTTTTTACCACTGTCAATTACATTTACGTGAAAGCCTTTGTTAGGTAATATATACAATCACGATTTATTTTTTAGCAATAAATCAGTGGGTATAGTGGCAGCGCTCATTCATACCTATRCAATTTAATAATACATTAATGCCGATCCCAAATTAATATATTATAATATTAATGTACAATAATATATAATATACATACTCAAATTTTAAATCGTATTTATTTTCTACTTTGTGCTCTTGATAACTTTATCTTATTATAGTATAATTWACGTGCTGGTTTGTATTTCGTGAATTTTTTTCATATGGATCAAAGTATTAGGATTTTGATATTTGTCATCAAATATGGAAATATAATATTATATTAGTAAGACTGGAACCAATCCAAACCAGGGCCGAATCCCACCTCAAAAATAGCTGCACCACAGAATTAAACATGTTAAAATTTGGTTGTTATAGTGGCTTGTCGTTATATTGTTATATTGTATAAAAAATGTGTAGTTCAAAATGCATATCTATCTTGTAGGTGAACGTATATTCTATAAAGTTATTTTTATGAAAATGTTGAAAAATGGATTTTATTATTTTAATGAGTTATTTACCACAGAATAATAGCTGCATATTGCATATTATTAAATACTGGAACATATGGTTATTGGTAAACAGATAAAATGTGTGAAAAATGACAATGGTTAAGAAATGACGGTTAAAAGATCTTGACATCTAAACAAATATAATATAGAATATTATTGAGAATTAGAGTAAATGTACCATGTGGTACTGATGTATTGTTATATTATGTTATATTAAATTCGAAAGTATTGCAGTGTTATCATTACATTCATATTCAAAAAAAAAAAGCAAGTGGGTACCACYCCGCTATACAATTAATATTAGATAATAGCTCGTATGGGTTACTGTAATGGAAGTGTCAAATTTGAATTCAATGATATAAAATTATTGTATATCAGAGCAAAACGATTCAGATAGAAAATTGTCTTTCAGCCTATATTGCTAGGTATAACATATTATAATATTATTGCTATTAAAATAATTTATTTTAGTATTATCAGTATGATATAATTTTTGCCAAAACTATTCCATTGTGGCATTATGTGTGCGGATTATAATAATATACTATTTCTTCATTTAAAGAAAATAAATAGAAATTTTCTCATGGCTCATGCCCAATAGGTATAATTAGTTTGGAAAATGTATGTAAAATAGTGAAATTATTTACTGAAAATTTAAGGTACCTATATACCCATACAATTATTGGTGCTTGATTTACCAAAAGGCACGCAAATCATTGTAAAGTTAACACTTTAATCGCTACGCTCAGAACACAAAATGTATTAAATAAAGCGTACCTAACATGATAATTTATATTTTATCCGCTATACAACGAATTATTAAAAATAAATCATGGAGATTGCTATGATAACATAATTATATTTATCATYGGTTGTAAACAGAAGTAAAAATCCGATTACAAAAAACAATTTTACCTAGATTTTGTGAGCCCGTACTTTTTTATAGATTCTGAGCGGACTGCGAAGCGATGAATGTATTGATTTTAACATGATGTGTTTTTATTTTTTTTTGTGTCTGTCATCATGTTTTGGGGCAGTAAAAGTTCTTCGATTTTCG